CACACAAAAAAAAAAAAAAAAACAACGCGGGCACCCCCCCCCCCCCCGAAACACTGTTCGCAGTTAGTTCAGAGATCTGGAAAACGCAGATGAAATAAATGCAATAGTGATAGAAAAAGCAAGTTTTGCATTCTTTATTATGTGTGTATCAAATATGCAGCATTGGTATTCACTTTGAAAATTTTGAAATATTTTTTGGGTGACTTTCAAAGTATTCCCTTCCTGGGATAACGTATAAAGAAGTGCCACTTATGTAAATTAAATCATCCCAGGGAAAATTGTTGATAGCAATCTTTGGATGAGCCAACGTATGTGAACAAAATTTGTGTCACCTGCTAAGGTGAAAGAATGAACTTGGTCAAACATTTCTGTAGATAAAAAGTGGGTGCACATGTTTGAAAATTTCAATGCAAATGATGTAGCCTACCTTTTGTAAATTTGCAACTACTTTTGAGTTTTGATTCAGCCTTCCAGACACAAATGCACACTGGAAGCGAACTTTCTCTCAGGTAAACAGTGTTTGAACGTCCGAGACATCGCAGCTGAAAGTTACCGCTCTGAGAGATATTTTGATTGTTCGGTGTAACATTGATCTAACATGTCCTAAATTTTATGATATGCTTCTTGAGAATGAAAATTTGTTAAAAGCTATTCATGTTTTTGCAAATGATATACAGGATATTAAAAATCATGCACAACACCTTTTTTTCGTCTTCCCCGTTGCTATGCCTTCGGTTACTGTGAGCCTTTGTTTCCGCATTTGGTATCCAGAAAATTTGGTAAGCTTAACCATGTAATGATCATGTATCACCCTACTTAATTAAGAACAGCTAGATCTAGCATTTATGTAGGCTATCAGCAACGCCAAGGTTATTATTTCAGTGAATTATTAAGTTTATTCTTGACTTGAGTAATCACGAATTATTTCTTGAAAGTTAGCGGGGCCGTGAGAATGGTGAGGGGCGAAGAGGACAGCAGCCTAACTTTCAGAATAAACAGTATTGATTGTATCGCATTGAAAGCTAAACATGGGGAGTAAGCTGCCTACAAAGCAGCTGGTCATTTAAAAAGTTGGAAGAGCATGGGCTTGATACGGACTAGACTTAGACACCAGACTCACCAGTGCTTTCAAAACGTTTCAGTGTGACTGGCCGACAGGAATTCATCCACATTGCAGCTGTGACCGGTGCCAAATTTATTGATTTAAAAAAAAAAAAAAATAGTTCTATTAAATATTTCAAATGGGCGAAACGATGAATTAGTGCTATTTTTCAGTCAATTTGATGAACACTAATATAATTATAGGCAGACATTAATCACTTAGTGCCTAGTCTTTTGAAAATTTTCTAATAAATGTATTCAGCGCCGTGCGAAGAAAGGCAGTCGCCCGGGGCGCCAACATCGAGAGCACTGAAAGAGTAAGGTATATTTTCCATCATAAATCTTCGCCCCCGGCGCACTCTTTCCTTCGCACGGCTTTGTATTAAAGGCCTTTATAATTTTATAAGATTTAGATTTTATACCTACACAATATTTGTTTTTATTATATAATTAAACATGCTGAAACCCCAGTAGAGAGTTTATGATCCGATATTTTAAGGCTAAGCGATGCTATCTAAATCTAATATTTTCAATTGATTCAAAATATTCTGCGTGGGGAAAAAAAGCCTTCTTTATATGAAATGATCATTCTGTTTGCAGTTTATAGTAGGCTTTAAGTATGTTGTATATCATACGTTAAATTGTGGACCTATGCCTAAATTAAATTTTCTATATAAATAAATTTAGAAAGCATTTAATTTTTTTAAAAGCCAAAAATAATGAACGACCGACCGTTCTGCTGTTGTATTTGCCAAGTTGCCGTTACAAATGTCAGTAACTTTGATGTAAGTAAATAGCAAATCACCTATTGTCCTTTTACAAATTTACAACATTTATTTATTACTTAGAGGTACACCGTAAAAGTTGCCTGATAGTGGCTTATTTTTCTGTAAGCCATATTAATAATCTACAAAGAAGCGCGCATTTCGTTGCTGTTAGCGTTCCTCCATTGATCTTACTGAGTAAAAATTACAGCTTAATAAAACAAGCCTCCAGATTTTCCGTTCTTAAATATTGAGAAAAGTCTTATTTATATATCTATAATACACGCTAATTTAATAAAGTATGTAAATTATATACGTGAAACAATCTCTATAATATTATAAAATATACTGTATACTTGAATTTGTTGAAATAGGGCCAAATGATAAGGGTAATAATAAGGCCTTTCTACCATGACCATATTAAACGAATCGTATGCCTATCTGTTTTATTTTTAATATCAAAATCTTCTTAACTAATAAATGTTATTTAACTAATTGTACAATCACATTGCTAATTGATTTTTTAGCTACTTCTATTTCAAACCGTCAAACTCACTGCAAACGTAAATGTAAAGGACATAAATTTAAATAATCTGGCAAGTGTGGTTATTGTTTATGGAGCTGACAAAGATGGGAGAACGAGTGTTCGCTGCCGAATGTATTCAGAAGCGACGAGTACGCAAAGTAAGTTTGAATTCGATATAACTGTAATATATTCCCATAAATAATTTTCGGATAAAATATTAAAAAGATACACTTTTTTAAAATTGCTAAATAATCGCGTCTATGATATTTGAGCATCAATATTATTATGTTGGTTCTCATATTATATTTCAATAATTTCAATTCAGAATTCAATTCATTACAATAACATTAATTAAATTTTGATTAAAATTTAAATCACTTTCTAACGCCTGCTTACGGTTTAGTTTAAGTTTAGTAGACTTAATTAACAGTAGTAAGTAGAGAAGCCCTACACATCAGCTTGTCTTTAGTTACTAGTAAGTCTAAGCTAAAGACGGTCAGATTATGTGTCAACTACATCTCTTCTCCCATAGGCCCTTAGCCTTAGGCTATTTAATTATTATTATTATTATTGGGGGTTGGTCGGGTCCACGATTGAACACTAATTACTGATGGTTAACTTTATAGTCTACTACTTTCTACCTACTAATCTCTGACATGCATTCAAATAAGACAAATGCTACATTACAGAATTACAGGGTAGTGAGACCCCCGAAATTTCAAGACATTTGGGTTAAAGTTGTATTTATTTTGTACATAAAACTCTTAATGTCAATGTAATATTAATATATCCTAAATCTTCCATCTAGATAAATAATTTGATTGAATATGTGCCTTAGTAAAGTCTTAGATTTTACATGCCAAATCCCACCTCAAAGACAAATGTTTGGTTAATACATTATTTGATGTGTTGCTTAAACTTAAACTTATAAACTTAAGCATACAGTGCCTAAGGTCATCAAAATCATAATTTTTTGTTCATATTCATGGTCATGGTGTAATTTAGGTGGTATAACTTATAACATGATCCGTAACCATATATTATGCAAACCCTTAACTTTTTTGTCAAAATCCTTTAAATTATTATATTTAAAATGAACTATGGTCTTAGAATAGTTTTTGGCTAATCCTAGTTACAATTGCCAAGACTTATTTTCCAGTGAGTGACTTCCTTTGTTTATTTTTACTAAATTATTTTAGGGATCGATTTAGGGTTCAGGTTAAGCATAGGGATCGATTTAGGGTTCAGGTTAGGCATAGGGATCGATTTAGGGTTTCAGGTTAGGCATAGGGATCAATTTAGGTTTCAGGTTAGGCATAGGGATACATGACTTCACGTGACGTGTTAACCAAGATGGCGGCCATTGAGAAAATAGTGGCAATCGTAGTCAAAATTTACCTATTTTTTTATACTACTCTGCATAAGTCGAAAAATATTGATAAAACATGATGCACAATATGGCGGCATATGGCTATGTGGTATTTTTGGAAAATTGAATACTACGTCACATTTGCCTCAGAAATAATTGCGTCCTCATCAGTGGCACATCAGTTTTTGTGTTCCAGAGATTCTATGATTATGAAATTTGTGGCAAGAGTTTTTTTTGTGTGTGTCACAGACAGGATTATCATAACGATTCGGAGTTTTCGAGAAACTTAATCCATTTCCAAGTTGGGGCTTGGAATCAAAATGTACCCAAATAAAATGTTAATTTTATTCACTCGAGATGCCGGCAATGGTTCTTATCTCCGTCAATTATGAAGAGATTTGTTATTGTTGAATCCCTAAACATCTGATTAATTCTAAGAAGTTTAAAATGAATAATTTTACACACTGTAAGTTTAAGAAAAGATTATAACCAAATTTGAAAAGTTTTGCGAAGCGACTAAGGCTTGCTTTTTAGTTTTATTACGTTTAAAAAAAATTTGTATCCATTTTATCAGTTATTTATTATTGAATCAATAATTAATAGTTTAATAATGGTAATAAAAATAATAATTGCTATTCTCTTATTAATGACTTCTCATATTGGAGAATATTACTAAAATTTAACTCATATAAATAAGTTATAACAATAACAGTTATTATAATTCTATAGATACGTCTTAGATTGTATAGTCCTAAGCCTAATATTATTATTTTACTACTATTGCACTTACAGGCCAAATTAAAGTTAATATTTTTTTTAATTTTAAAGGGTATTTAATTATACATTTTAATTTTAATTAATTAATTTAATCTTATATTCTAATACATTTATTTACTGTCTTTCTTAAGTCTTAACTTTTAGTCTAGAGTCTAGGCCATATCATAAAATTAAAATTTGAATTATTGTAAAATTATTGACATAACATTTGTCACGAGCTTCTTCAAGCTAAGTGACGCTTAGGCCTAAATTCTACACTTTTTCTGACACCACCTTGTTTGTACAAAACAAGGAAACACACTAAAAAATACAATAAACAAAGAAGTCTTCAATTAACTTAAAATAGCTAAGACTAATTTATTATATAAAACGTATAAGCAACTGACATGAAGCAAACTATGCATACACCCAAACATATGATGCAATGAATTATTAATTATGTTAAAAGATACACTAAGACACTTATGATGGTTGTCTTTTAACCTCAATCATTCAAAGCACATCTGCTGACTACTACTGCACGATACAGGCACTTTAGTTTACGACTCCCTCGACACGCTACGGACTCTAATGGAGGAGTCTTCGGCCTAGCGTCTCGTCGCTGCTCTGTATGGAATAATGCACGTTCGTCTCACTGCCAAGTGCTTGAGATGATCGGCCTGCTAGTATCTAGTGTCGACAATATAAAGGCCGACTATTCCTGAAATATATGAATAAATCCCCTACATCATGTGATCAATCCTACTTCCAACTAGATACTTAACGTAGTCTTCTAAACTACTAACGTCTACCTAACGTAACAATCAATCACACAAACTACCCTAAAGCTTTCTTATCCACACACCTTACATACACTTACCTCTCTATGTTGACTCTATGACTCTCTGGCACAAGGTAAGTCCAAGTCTAATTCTTTCCCCTCTCTCTCTAATGTTCTTCAAAGAGTGGCTATAGATACATGCATATGCACTTGCCCACGCTACCCTGATTCTAATTATTCCCTGGTCCCATCCTTGTCCCTCTCACGTATCATGACCTCAAAGGTCGGTGGTCACTAAATCATTGGCTGGCATCGGTGCCCACAAAGAGACGGACTCTACCTGGACGAATCCTAACGGTGTTGCACTGGGATAAATCTTCTAAAATAACTTAATTATGCATGCCCCCAACCCTGTTTGATACTGGCCGCAGGAGACGCGATCTTATCCTCGCTAGCGGCACGCTCTTCCCACGACCCTGCTGACCGACGCTAATAGTCACTCTGTGACAACAGCCTTGTTTAAAATTAGATAATATATAAATTAGCCTATGAAATTTTTATTAAAAGACATAAAATAAATAAGACTCAAAAAAATTATTTAAAATATATATATAATTACTACAATTAAATAAAATACTACATATAAAATATATATATAATATATATATATATATATATATAATTACTATTATGTAGTATTTTATAGTTTATTAGGACCTAGAAAAGCAGTTTATATAGACAATATTTAATATGTCAAATAACATTGAAAAAAAGAAAGGAGTTTTTATTACCACAAAAATTGAATGATATTAAATAGAGACTAGAAATTTTGTAGATTCAGGATTATGATTAGCTGTAATTTCTAGGCTTCTTTCAGGTATAAGAGAAAATTAAGAACTCTGTGGAGTCTCTCCATTGACAATGAGCCACATTTGGAAGTAGATGGCAAAGATAAAGTTTATGAAGGAGAGATTGTGGGATTCATAAATAAGTACAAGAAGTCTGTAGAGCAGATACATAGAAAATGATAGAGAGAACATCCCCATTACCATTTAAAATTGAATCACATACCTGTACAGGCCTATGGGTGATTTTATTAGTTTTTATTTATAAATTCATTAATTCAATTTTATATTTTTAAAAAAGACTTCTACCCACCTTTATAACTATAAGAATTGCTTTAAAATATAACTGAAGAATATTTTTAACTAAAATTCAATTACATTATTTTTATTTTATTTTTACCTTTACAAATAATTTTTCTGTTCATGATTTTTTTAACATACCCTCTAATAAAATTATCTTCAATAAAAAGTCTTTATGTCAATTAAAAGTTTTTTTGTTCTTTGTGTTGTCTATTAGATTGTGAATGTCGCCTGAAAATATGGTGCAGTTATCTTTAAAAATAAAAATGTGGGCAAAATAATACAGAAATGTGAAAAGTTGGTCATAATTTTTTGGGGTAAAATATATAGCTTGTGTAAGGGGCTTTAGAATAATACCCCCCCCCCCCTCCTCTTAAATATATTTAAAAAATATAAAAAAAAAAAAAATGTGGGCAAAAAAATACAGAAATGGTAAAAGTTGGTCATAATTTTTTGGGGTAAAATATATAGCTTGTGTAAGGGGTTTTAAAAAAATACCCCCCCCCCCCCTCCTCTTAAATATATTTAAAAAATATAACTCCACTTCTATAATGATAGTAAGATCAAATTGTTACTTTTGGAAAGCTCATAGCTAACCTTTTAATATTATTATGATGTATCTTTTACTTTGATTGCAATCCACAATATTTATAATTTCTGTCACAGTACCTACCTACTAGTTGTACCGATACAACTATGCTAATATCCTGTCAAGGTGCTACTAACATTATTATTATTTGATTGATGCACGCCAAATGCGAGTGGGTCAAGTAGATATTATTGCTTAGTATGTATCATTTAATATAAAAATTGATTACATGCATGTATTATCCGAACCCAAAATTTCTCATGATATCTTGTAATGGGGTGCACTGTAATTTGTTGATTGTATTTACTATTTCAGCTGCTTTATTTACAAGAAAAATGCCATGGCATAAAACTAACACAATTATATAACAATATCCAAGGCTATCGAGCTATTCAAGGGAGAATGATTTCGACTAATACACTTAAAATAGTGTATCAATGATCATATAGAATAAATAATATGATAAAAAAAATCCTTATAATTTCCACAGGAGTGTCATTTAATGTTGTTTCCACCTCATTTAAAAAAAATTTATTTCTGACCCAGTAGCGCAATGCATTGATAACACTTCTCATTATTCTATTCATTCCTCGTCAGCTATTTTGGCCATTCTTGACTTTCACATGTGGATCACTAGGTTTTATATTTAATGCATTATGTAGCCTTCTGCTGAAAATTTTGTCTTCCTTTACTGGGATGATACACATTTGTGTACAGTGGTCTGCCACCCCTGTCTTAATTATTTCATTTGCTCTGCTGCATATTTTTAAATCTGATTGTACATTAGAACTGGTTATTAAAGTTATATAGTAAGGAATCCATAATCCTAAAAATTTGAATTAAGTATACATTGGCTAATGCCTCTGCCAATAGCAAATCCTTTGCCTTTGCTATAGTCATTTGTTAATTGAGTCTCAACCATTTTCTTTTCCAGGCCAAGGTGGAATATTTTGTCAAATGGAAAGGATGGTCTATAAAGTAAGTTTTTATGATGTCAATCTCATATGTAATGCAATTTAATGTTGTGTTAAATAACACGCGGGTGGGGTATTTCAAACACTGACCGCTATAATTTCGTACTTATTTTATTTGAAAAATAATTTCGTACTTATTTTATTTGAAAAATAATATTTAAAATATGGTGTTGCAAATTCGACCATGCAAAAACACTTCTGAGAGAGTTGCATTGGCTGCCGGTGCGTGCTCGCATAGAGTACAAAATCGCAACTTTGTGCTACCGCTGCTTACATGACCTGGCGCCGTCCTATCTGAAAGAGCTGCTGACGCCTTATGTACCCACTAGAGAGCTCCGCTCATCCGATAGTGGCAAACTCTCGACACCACATGTTTGCCTTGAGACTTACGGAAAGCGCACTTTCGCATTTGCTGGTCCAACAATTTGGAACGCCCTTCCTGTCAATCTCAGAAACAACCAGACACTGGAGTCCTTTAAAACTGATCTAAAGACACATCTATTTCGCAAATACCTTCTGGGATGATTGTCTACCTTATTTTCCAGGTAATGCATAATGGCTGTGTTGCTCCGGGTTGAAATGGCTAGAAAGAATTTGAGATTGTATGCTTGTAATTAGTTTTTGTAGTGTTGCGTTTGTTTTAAATGTGGTAAATTATAGATATGTTTTTTGTTGACTTTGTACCGCGCTTCGAGCCTTTGGGGATGAAGCGTGTTTTTTAAATGAACTTTATTATTATTATTATTATATAAATTGTTATTAAGCATACATTTCTTAATTCAGACAACTACTAATGCTTTTTCCATCAGATATAACACCTGGGAGCCTGAAGAGAACATCTTGGATCATCGCCTTATTGAGCAGTTCAAGTGAGCTCTAATTTAGTTGATGTAAAATATAAACATGTTATGGGTGATTTTTTTTATCATAAAATAACAGAATCATTGGATTAGTTCTGGTTATGTAAATATAGTCAGTTGTAAACATCTGATTTTAAAAAAAAGCATAGTTTTTGTGTTTTTTTTATTTATTCTTAAAATTTAGGTTACCATTTGATTTTTTATAAGCTTGAGAGTGGTTGCCATTGGAGAATTAAATAAATATTTTTATCAATTTTTTAAAAAATTGCAACATCTCTAAGTTGTTATGAATGGTCTATGTTCAGCCTGACCATACAGTTGGTAAAAAAAAGTAAATTCTGATTTACTCTGCAGGAGAGAAAGTACAGGGGGAGGCAAGAGAGGACCCAAACCAAAAAAGAGAATTCAGGTAACTTATTTTTTGAGAGTTATATTTATCAATGTAGTATTGCTGTGTGGTGTTAAAAAGTGATATTTTTCTATCTTCTTTTTGCAATGTAATTAGTTTAGTTATTGTAGTTAGAATAAAATATTATGATAAAATTTTTCTTGAATTTTTTTTAACAATATGAAAACAGATTTGACTAAAAACAATTTAAGAAAAGTAATTTAATGACAATGGAAGGAACATTATCCATTACAGATAAGTGGAGAAATTACTCCACATTTAATCAGAGATTTGTCTTGGTTTAGTTAATTTATACTAAATCTATTTTTAACATTATTACGAAATAGGAATACATTTTCCAAATATACATGTGTGTGAATGGGTTGATCTATTTCATGTAATATCTACCTGAACTTAAATTATTATATGAAATATTTAAATTTTAGGAAAATACAGAAGATACAGGAGAAAATTCAGATGAAGAAGATGAGGAAGAAGATGATGAGGATGCAGAGGACACCAATAGCTCAGAAGATGAATCCAGTGAAACGAGTGTTGAGGCCTCCAAACCACGAAAAGACATTACCCACAGGTCTGCCAGCCCTGCACGTTCAGACAGAGATCGGGACAAAGATCAAGACAAAGGTGGTGGTAGGGACAAGTTGGGCCATCCATCCACGTCAAAGTCTTTAGGTTCACATGCACCTGCAAAACGTCGACCTGGAAGACCACCCAAAAATCCTAGTCATCCCAGTTATGTTCCACCATCCAAGAAATTAAAAATTCAACCCAGCCATTCCAAGCTGAAAACTGTAAAAAAAACTGGTCCTAAAAAACGACAGTTAAAAGTTAAGCAGACCTCCAGCACATCACATCAGAATACCCAACAGACTAAAAATAGTGACAGCAGTGCAACTAATACAGTTGCTGAAACACATTCTAAAAACAATGACAAAGAAAAGGAAAATACTTCCAAAAGTGACAACAGTGCAGGCACTGTTAAAAATAGTGCCAAATGTGACAACAACCTCTTAATTAAAAGCACTACGACTGGAGCTAAAACAGTTGATAACGGAGTTTATGACTTTCCATCTGACGACTGTGATTCAAACAAGGGGTCGCTGTCCAGTAACTTGCCCAAAAGGAGTGCACCTGGAAAGAAATACTGGGTGCCCATGGAATACTTCAAGCCTGTGGTAGACAGTGTTGTCATAACAGATGTGGACATGTCCAGTAGCATGATCACAGTCAGAGAATGCTCTTTTGATAAGGGTTTTTTCCTCTAGTTGTGTTTTAACATTTGTTAAAATTTGCATTTGAAATCAAGGGCATAATGGTACTCATAGAGGGGCTACCAGTCAATTCCCATTGATTCAACTAAATGACTAATCCAGATTTAGTAAGTCCTTAATTTTGCAGGTTTCCCTTTCTTATCACTGGAGCGATAGTGGCTAAGTATTATAATTTAATTAATTATACTTATTTAGCCAAATCCTAATTAATGTGATCATCCATTTTCATCCAATTTGAATATAATAGTTTTGTTTTTTTTGTTTTTTTGTATGGTTATTAATTCTTTTTTTTTTTTTTTTTTTTTCAAGTGGGGTGGGGGTGTCTATACCCAATTACTTTTTAAGAACTATTTTTGTTAGTCCATAAATAGCAATATAATGTTAATGAATATGATGTGGACAAGCATTAACTGTACATACATACATTTTATTGAGGTTAAATTGAATATTTACCATGTCTCAATGTTTCATATAGAATTTATTTCTATAAAATGGATTGAAGTATTGATCTGTCAATTTGTGTTTTATAGGATTATAGAGGTTTAAGGTTCTCCACCAGCCACTAGGGATATTGACTGGTGGTCAATATTTTGTGAGCCACATTGAGAATGAAGGGTTTTATGGAATTTGTTGTTACACAATTGACCTTCTGGAAATAGTTGAATCTATTTTCATCTGAGTCCAGTGTGAAAGAGAAAGCGTGTGGGTTTTATAAATTATTGTGCAAAATTTTCATGAAATGAAATCTTTTCAATTTTATTTTGCGCTGCTGGCAGCTCTTATATTGATAGTGGTGGGCATTTTATTCTATCTTCTAAACTGGGAAAACTAAATGATCACTTTGTTTACCCCTTGGATGGTGTATCACTGTTGGTGTCAGGTTGACCATGTTATCCCTAAGCTTCACCCTGCATACCCATGCCCCAAAGCCTCCAGAGAGGATTTGACCAACAATAGTGTCTTAAAGTCAGAGCAAGCATGCGAGTACCCCACATCCCACTCGTGAGCTCTTCAAGGCTCAACTTGTGAGATGATTTTATCTTAGGGGGTAAGGCCCTGTAATCATTTGGTGTATCAATTAAATTAAATATGAAAAACTATCTTTGAACTAGAGTAACACTCCAATATGTTGTGTTAATTTAGCTGATTAGAAAAACAAATCATTGCTCCTAGCTACATGTTTTTGTGTGTCCTGCATTCACTTGTTTTATGGCTAATGATGATGATTACTATCAGTATAAGAAGTGCTCATAATTGTCTCCTTAATTAAAAAGATCTGATTCAATATAAGCCTATGTTTTGTTCATGTTATTTTACTATAAATAACTTCAATCATCATCCTTGATTTTAAAACAACATTTAGTTCAGAACTTTACAAACTGTTAGAGGCATCCCGCAGGGTAAACAAAAGTTTCAGTGGAATATTATGCCACATCTAGCTGACCTTGGTCAAACCACTTAGTAATAAATGTTTGCAGAAGCTTTGAAGAATTGTTTCTTGTTGGTGTGCTTTATCACAAATAATATGTCTCTATGTATGTATGGGTATAAGGCTCTGTTCAACAGTGCAAAAAATACAATTCTCCAAAAGTGCACTAAACAGCTTTTAAGTTTGTGTTCAATGGTGGCACAGGATACAAATACAATTTTTTAATTGGATTCTTAAAAACTCTTGATTTTTTAAATAGGGTAATTGAACCAATTAAAATCTGGCAAAATAAATATATTTTAGGCTTAGATTCTTTAATGTGCAAGTCATATTTTTATAAATTAGACATAAATTTACTATAAAAAAAATTCCCAGAAGTAAGAATTTTGGATTCTTGTAAAAGTGCATTACTTTTCTTGAATGCATGTTTTGTCAAATAACTTTAACAGGTGTAAAATTAAGCCATTGGGGATTATTTGTTGAATGTTTTTGTATACAAATAGCTATTTTTCACATTTATTTAAGGTTGATTTAGTTTTCAGGGATAGTTTTGAGAGATTTAGTTTGATCAGAAGTACCGGTAATGTTATTTTAGACTCACATACCTGAGCACATTGTTTTTAATAATAATAATAGTAGATGTACGACAGTTTCATAGCATAAATTAATTATTACTGTTATTATTTATTTTAAGTTGCATTGATTTAGAATTTATTCTCAATACTAGCGTTTGAGAAAAGGGTGGTGAGAGATAGTTGACATGTCTTGACACACACTTCAGATATTTATAATGAAATATTCTGAAAGTAAAGTTATTGAAGTATTTCTTCTTGTTTGTGGTTTTAAAAAATGAGATGGAAAACGTTAAAAATATATTGTGTAGTTCATTCGTTAAAATGTGACACAAGCAAAATCTGGGGACATGCTGTGACTCTAAAAAGCTTTGAACATCAGGTTTAAATCAACACATTAACCTTGTATGATTTTTGTACTAATTATGGGCCAGAAGTTAAGATCTTTATTTTTTTTCAATATGCTTGGAAATTGATAAAGTTTAAAATAAATGTTTAAGTCTAAAATTTTCTTCTTCACCTTTGAATACTCAGTCATTTAAGTCAACAAGAGTTTGTCATGTATTGCTGAATCATTGCATGTTGTTGCCATGTAACTTAAAAATTTTTAGTTCATTAGTACCAGTATAAATCTACTGTGATGCATTCCATCTGATACATACCTTCAGTACCGGTAATAGACCATTAGCATTTATTTGATAATCACTAATTTGTGCGAAGTTTTTGTACAATTTAATATAATTAAAGGTTGATTTATTATTGTTGAGATTTCTTGAAATAAAATAGAAAGGCTAAAACTCATAATTTCATCTCTGTGTTGCAAGTGTGTAGGTTTTTTTAAGGGTTAACAACCAGGCTTTTCAGTTAGCATCTCTCCACCCACTTAGAATTCTTGTTACATTTTTATTTTTGGATGTATAGTGTTTTTGTTCACTCAAAAGGATATAAATTTTAGGGTGCCATTTACATTTACTGACTAAAACAATAAAGCTCTGGTGATTGAGTTAATTTAAAATCAGCATCTAATAAAATTCCCATTATTATTTCCTCTTTGTCATTTTAAAATAACTATTACAGACTACTGTAATTTCTTTAAAAATTAAATTCATTTATAGGAGAAATAAAAAATACCTAAGGTAATTCTGTCATTGGGTTCCTTTTTATGTTGAGGTTTATATCTTCTGAGATCGGAGAAAAGGTGAGGTGGGCGGGGTGTGAAATGGAGTAGTGTTCATTATAAAGCAGATTTTGAACTAAATAATTTAATGAAGATTCCAGGTGGGAGGTAATGGGTAACAAAAAGAGCTATTTCATATAAATTGGACAAGGTGAAAATTAAGCATCTGTCGAAGGAAGTGTTCATTGGAGTTATAAATTTGAACTATTCCTTGGCCTTTGTAAAGAAAGTAGGAATTTTAAGAAGACAATTTTAGAGCTGCAAGAAGTCTTTTTACGAAGTTTACTCATGGGATGAAAATTGGACAATGGCATGATGCTATTTAAATATACTGGTATGCCAATTTGAAAACTGGCTGTAATTTTGTAAAAAGAAATCAGTGTAATTAAGAATATGTTATGGTAAACACAAAAAACTGATATATTTTCTGTTTCAAATCATGTACTAATTACAAGTCTTAAACTTAAATTAAAAAGACAAATTCTTATTTGCAAACCACATTTTTATTTGTTCCATTTAAAACTTAGTGAATTAAAGTAAAGGCCGGAGATCCAAGTCAAATATCATTAAGGACAATAAAAAGTAGAATGAAAATTATTGTTAATTTCTTATGTTACAACATAATTGCAGGTAATATTCAAATAGCTTAAAAAAAAAAAAAAGTTTCAGAGGCACAGGTACAAATACCTTTTTTTTTTTTTTTTTTTTTTTTTTTAAATTTGAGACAGCTAAGGGTTTTTTTTATTTTTCAAAAATTAAGCAACCTCAGCAGTGAAGTTATATCAAAGGTCACCACCATTCAGTTTGAGTGATTTAAGATAAACCTTTATGTTAAGCAAATTGCATTGTTGGGACAACAGAAGGTTTAGAATTTAATAATAAAAATATTAATTTGCAAAACTACATTTTTACATTTACTTGACCTAATTCCAAAATTCTAACTGCACATGGTCTGGGCTCAATTATTGGTAGATCATCAATGCATAGATTATAACTTTACACTAAACATTTTTTTCCTGCAAGCTTGTCAAAAATCACCTGTGCTTGACAGAGATCACATAAATCAACACAAAATATCTGACTCACAAAATAACAATTGCTTGTGAACTGACCCTCTAAATGTAAAAATATTAAAAATCTAAAATTTTATATGTATAAATAGTTGTATAAACATATTGTTTTGATAATAATCATAGACAGGTTTTTCTATTGGGTGTGGAGACTTCAAGTTTTGAAAGAAACCATTAATAGGTTTGAGTGAATGTAAGGAAAATAATTATCAAAGTTTGCAGAGTAAAATTATTCAAGTATTTATGCTTATTTAGCTTTAAGCTGTTTCACTTAGTTTAAATACATGCCCAATATGGAATAGATTTCTAATAAGGGGACATCCATAACAGAGGATATCCATATTTTTATATCCCTCTGCCCACTGGTTCCACACAACATTTTTGCCCCCCCCCCCCCCCCTTTTTACTANTTTTTTCCCCCCCCCCCCCCCATATGTATGTAAAAATGATAATTAAAGTTATCATAAGGCTTAATATTACTTTTGCTATCTATGCAAAGTATGATTCTTACTTAATATTTTGTTATTTTTTTATAGCCTTTGAAGAATATTAGAAATCATGGATTTACAACTTACAGTTGACTTTTTTCTAGACTATTTATGGACTGTCAGAATTTCAGGAAAATTATTGCAGAATTTTGCATAAATGTACATACACATTCTGTCAAGACTGTCCTCTCTCCGTAAGCAAAATCTACAATAAACATTCAACACCCACCCCTTTTCAGTGCATACATAATATATGGATGACCTGCAATCTATTTTATACATTGAATTAAAGCTGGACTCGAGGTTACAGCCACAGAAGCATATTCTACTCACACATTAAACTCCTGGATTCTGAAGGCTTCTGAGAATATAACCACAATTATGTGTCATTTAAAACTGCACAAAATTCAACAGAAGTGTTTATCATGACAAGGTCAGGTTGTGTAAACTTGTATATATCACTTTACAAATAATAACAGCTATCACAGCAATATCGTAATGCACTTTTGGATTTTTTTAAAAAATCGTGTACAAAATAAAAATACAAAGTTAATTATTGGATTGAAATTGCATTGATGCAATGCACAGCATGGATTTAATCCAACAGCAGCAAGATCAAACTTTTTCACCAGAAATGAAGAGCAAATTATGCAAACTTCCTGGTCATCAAACATAGGAGGCACTTTTGATCAAGTAAACTTAGTCAATTAGTAAGACATGCAAGAAACTATTCAATCCATCCAGCATTCAAGACTTAATGTACAGTGGCTCTTTCTGCTTTGTGAGTTAGAATGTTTGAAGGCTTCATAGTTTACATCATATTGCCTAAGTAAATGCCATTTGAAGTTTCTTAATCAACCTTGGAAAAAATTGCACTGCCACCTCCAATGTAATATGTTGTTGAGCTGACAAGAACTCCCAAGCTAAGCTCCCACAGAGTAGACATCGTGACAATCCCCAAGTTAAACATTGAAGTAAAATTAATAAAACTTAGTATTGAACACAGTAAATATGTTAATAATATTTCCAAACAGCAATGAGCCAATCAAAGAAGTTTTCTTGCAGGTGAGAGGGATACCTTTTACTAAGCATCAAAACTTGATTGGGACTCAGGTCAGCAGGAATAAATCAGTTATTCATATATATGTACAATTTGCTGTTGTTTATTAACATATCCCTTTTAAACAGATTGATAAAGCAGCATGGTGAGTGAAAACATTTCATTGTAAGGTACTGAAACAAGTTAGTGATAGAACTGTTTTTGGCATAAAAATAGTCCAATAAGAGCACCAATCACTGTTTATTTAAGACAACATTTGAAACTATTTATTTAGTAACAATTTGAGGAGCCTCAAGCTGACCTCTTTTAATAATTTCATCCACCCTGGCAAGTAGAAATTGTTTATCATGGGCCTCCTGTAATAGAAAAATGATGAAAAAGTTAAACTGCATGATAAAAAATGTCTTCAACAAATTTAATTATGTGGTAACAAAAAAGTGCCCAGGTATTGTGCCAACAGCTTTGTTGTTGGACATCAGGAGGAGGGGGGAGGGGTGGCATTTACAAACTAAGATTGTTGACATTGACTATCAGAGAAGGAAGGTTGGGGGGGAATGATGATTGCAAACCAAGGTTGTTGATATTGACTATCAGAGGAGGAGGGGGATGGTGATGACAAACCAAGGTTTTTGACATGGATTATTAGAGGGGTATTTCAGAAGGAGAGACTCCAATCCTGTAAGCTATCCTTAGGCATAATTAAATTGTCCTAATGAGTGTCATGATCTGCTGCTAATTGCAGTTGTGAGTCAGGACATATTGCCTACATGAGCGTCAAGTGGGTGATCCCCTTCTGATTGGAGTGGTGAGGCAGGACATATTGCCTCCATGCTTTTGCCTATTGTAAAAAACCTGATTAAATTTCCACAAGAATGAGAGTCCTAAATTTTTTCAAAACAGCCCCTCACAGATTAATTGCTAGTCAGACAGGTGAATTTAACAAAGAATAGTCTCGTAGAAATGGAAAAGTTTTTAATGCCACAAAAGAAAAGGAAAATTCATTGGTAAGCACAGTAAATTAAAACCGATTTTGATTTCAAAGTCAAAGAAATCATCAGATGCATAAAACATGACACTATATCAATGACTTACTAATTTCAACTGCTCTTTGAGAAGTTCCTCCATTTTTTTATAACCAGCTGTAACAGCCAGATAATAGTAGATTGACAACCTTTAAACATTCCACACAAAAAAATAAAAATAATTATCTTTCAAAACTTATCAAGATTCAAGAAACTGAACACAAAATAAATAGAAATACATGCTGGCCAATTACAATTATTTAATTTTTCATGGCAAAAAAATATATTATATATTTTATAATACAAAAAGCTTTAATTAATATTACTTTAAAATTGATTTTAACAGATGTTAAAAGATGGTTAACTTTAGTCGTTTCTGAGCAGCAAAAACAGTCATTAAGATTTGCTTAAAGATTGTTTATTTGTTTCAATCAAAGAGAACATGTTTACTCACAAGGCAATTATGAAAGCAGGAACATAAAATCCAATGGTCCCAAAATACTTGATGATTCCTTGCGGCACACTGGGCCAAGAATTAATTTCATTGGTAATGACGTCAAACATGACAAAATCGGGTTTAGAGTAAATTCTGAAAGGGCCACAACTCATGGATGGATGTAAACTGGAGAAGATAAGATATTATAAATAAATGCTCAAAATGACTCCTCAAAAAAATAATTTTTTCTTAGAAACTATGACATTTTGTTTTTTGCAAATTTATTTGGTACCGTAATTGGTACAGTAGGTAATTATAAATGATGGCTGACTTCAAATGATTAAACTGAAAGTTTAAGAACATAAGCTAAAGGCAAAATGTAACCAGTTGCTATAAATGGTTGTAAGTTATAAAAATGATTTTTAAAAAAACTCTCACTTTCCAATCATGTAACCTAACAAACATGAGATGACGATGAATGATAACAAGAGAACTGTCTGAAAGAATGAATAAGAACGTGATGCTCTGTATGCTATCTGAGGAGCTTCAGCTACAGAGAGAAGTTCAAACTGAAAAAAAAAATAAATAAAAGAAACTTATCAAAAAGAATTGTTTTCCTCTGAAATAAAATAACATGTATCACTAATATTTAACTAAATCAGGAACATTTTGTTTATCAATAGTAAAATATATTGTGAAATCCAAAATTCATTAATGTTTTTTAAAAAAGAAACAAATGATTGTCAGCACATTGATCATCCTTTGAAAAGATATATAAACTCTCACCAAGATATACAAATTCTTACCAAAATATAGAAATATCAAAATATACAAACTCACCTTTTTTAAGAAAAAGAAGTAAAATACTTTGATAAATGTTAAAGCAGGCAGCAATGGTGTAAAGAACATACCCATCCTGTTGAAATATAAATTATACAAGATTAAAGAACACTGGTGTATCTCTTGTATTTAAAATATCTAATTCATATACATAAGTCTAATAATATTTGATCACCTCTCAAAAGAACCATTGACATATAAAATCATTTATCGGCTAAAAGAGAAGCTAACGACATTATTATCAAGTGAACGAACAGCTTTTTGGTAGGTGTGACTACTAAATCATTAAGGTGGTAATAGCTTCTTTTTAAATGTAACATCCTAAACATTTCATTTCTGATTAAACTCATGACTACAGCATGTGTTGTGTTCATAGAGTAATTACTAGACTCAGTTCTGAGATTTTGTTAAAATACTGCTTGCAGCAACATTTTTTCCCACCTCAAATGACAATTTTATCTATCATTCTCAAAAGTTAGTATCTATGAAATTTACAGCACATTTGAAAATTAAAAATTAAAATGTATCATGCCAAAAATGTCACACACTATAAACATAGAAAATTATAATAATCCCATACTTTTGCAAAATTGAATCTAGTTTGTAATATTTACCAGCACACAGTTTGCGAATACACAATATCAAGCACTTGCAGTGGAAGGTCGAATTTGGATCTACCAAATTTTTTTACAATCCAAAATTTGTGTTGAAAATGGTGGTGTATTATTCTGGAATGACACAATATTAACCTTTCAAGTTAGGTTTTTACATATCAAATATAATACCAATTTGATCCCCTTCTATAAATCACAATGGAGACACATGTCTTAATGAAAAAGAAAATCAAATTCTGTTCTTTATAGTATAGCATATAAATTTTAAATATGCATGAAGAAAAAGCTCAGAGTGAATTTTGTTGTAAACCAGTGGAAAACAGTTTAACAATCAGTCAAAAAAAATTTAATTTTGGTTAACAGTTAAGTATCTAATTTTTAATGCTTTACCTGCGAGGTATTTTGATTGCTAAAACAATTAATGTCACAGAGATAAAATCTGTTATGCATAATTTGTAAAACTGTTGACCGACATAACTCTCCCAGCACTGTGTATGAAAATAAATAACATTATGGATGATCAGGCAAAAATTTGTACATACATATGATAAAATACAGTTTTATACATTAATAAATATATTACTTTTAATTTTAACATACAAATACAAGAAAAAAAAAAGACAATTACATTTTTTAGAATAGACACGGTGGAAATTTGACTTTTTTTATTGTCAAATTGCTGATTTTAAAAAAAAAACTATCATATAATTACCATGATTAACAAAAATTATTTCAATTTATGAGAGTTAGCCCAAAATATAAGTTTTACAATTAATCAAGAAATGTAAAATTACCTGCACTGTTCCCCTCTCCAGTTGATCATTTTCTATTATGCTTTCCCACAATGCATTCCCACAACAACGTGTTACATTATATTTGTTTTCTTCAGGACAATTAAAAGGATTCCTTCCTTGGTATTGAAGTCTATAATACAATGATACAATGAGGACCCATACACTGGAGAGTCGTAAGAAAACTGCCCTAAAAAAACAGAGAAAGAAATTGTGGGAAAAAGCAAATATTAAAGATAGTTGTACACAAATTTAAGAAAAATAAAGAGTTCTAATATAACCTTCTCATTAAAGCACATATATCATTAGACATTGATGCAACACAAAACAAGGTACTGGTGTTGACACAGGGTTTTTAAGGTTTAACCTTTGTTCTAATCTTAGATATGGCATTCCATTTATGAACCGTTTGTCTTACAGTTTTATACATTTTTAAAGGTAAATTTTTTGAGTAACGTATTTCCTACTAGTTTAAAAATATTGAAATGCAGTCCTTTACCTACCGACCCTTACCAACAGTCCCTTACCTACATTCCCTTACCTACAGTCCCTTACCTACAGTTATGCTGACAAAAAACTCATTGACCTTCCAAAAGTATATTGACATAAGATCTAGTGCTAAAAAAACTCAGTAAGCACCAAGAAGAAATGTATGAAAGTTACTTGAACTTTGAAGAGTTTCCAGTACCTGATGATGGTGATGTGAGTGGAAAAGCTGTTTGAGTACTGCTCCACCGTGGAGAGTGCAAGGAATATTTCTGGTATAACAGCATTCAGCATTGATATAACTATAGATGGGAGGTAATTGATGAGCAAGAAGAGAATATCGCTGAGGTTTTCCGTTTGATTCTGTTGACACACAAGTTAACATTTTACAAGTGGGTTTTATTGTGATAAGTTGGATTTGTTGTAGTGTGTGATAAGTTGCATTTGTTGTAGTGTGTGATAAGTTGGATTTGTTGTAGTGTGTGATAAGTTGCATTTGTTGTAGTGTGTGATAAGTTGCATTTGTTGTTGTGTGATAAGTTGAATTTGTTGTAGTGTGTGATAAGTTGCATTTGTTGTAGTGTGTGATAAGTTGCATTTGTTCTAGTGTGTGATAAGTTGCATTTGTTGTAGTGTGTGCTTTGTTGGATTTGTTGTAGTGTGTGATAAGTTTGATTTGTTGTAGTGTGTGCTTCGTTGTATTTGTTGTAGTGTGCTTCGTTGTATTTGTTGTAGTGTGTGATAAGTTGTATTTGTTGTAGTGTGTGATAAGTTGTATTTCTTGTGGTGCATGGTAAGTTGTATTTCTTGTGGTGTGTGATTAAGTTGGACTGTTGTAATGTGTGATATTCTGTTAAAGAAACTTTGCTCACCCTGATTAAAAAGTCTGTTGTCACGTATATTGTATAGAAAGCACCAGCAAGCAAGGCCAGGACCACTAAATTGATGACAAATCGTTTCAAGTAAAGTCGACTTTTCTCCTTGGTTGTCCTGTTATCTCGAACTCTTTTTAACTTTACTTCTAGCAGTGTAGCCTATGGATAGAAGGAGTAGCAGTGTAGCCTATGGATAGAAGGAGTAGCAGTGCAGCAAATAGATATAAGGAGTAGCAGTGTAGCAAATAGATATAAGGATAGTAATTCCAATTCTAGCAGTGTAGCGAATAAGGAGTTATTCAAATAATTTCTTTAAATTGAATCGGGCCATTAACTATCAATTGTTTTCAAAAGTTGCTTTAATGCTTTTATTATTTGTCTTTGGAACTAAGTAAAAAAAATTAAGACCATTTTTTAAGGAATTGATACAACGTTAAATACAACTATTGAAACTGTTAACCAGAGAAATAGATAACGAAAAAATGCTAAGACCTTTTAAAATAAAAAAATTGAAATGCCTCAAGATTCACACAAAACCCGTACCATGAGATGTGCTTCATGTTTAAACTCTCAGGTTTTATTATTCATTTGTTTTCACTCCCTCTTACATTTCAAATAGTGCTGATAAATGTGCTGGCAAGACTGTCAATGGCTTGGTATTAATTTCACCATGCCTACCTTGAATTCATTGTAAATAATCCTCTGTTTGTAGATGGCCATTTTTTCACTGTTTATACAGTAGTCCCAGCCTCCAAATGTAGAGTTGGTGTACATTGGGAATATTTTGTTGTCAAAGTCAATTACTGTTTCCTTTATTGTTGTGCTTGAGCTGAGATGACAGAGAAGCAGATATAACCAAAAAATGCCTTATGACAAATCAATTCAACAAAGTAAATTTACCACAGGGACCATCCATAAGTCAAGTCAGGCATAGAGGTAGTGTAGGGAGCATTAGCAAATTTGTCAAAACATGTGATAAAGGTGTCGAATTTTATGTAAAAATCTGCCAAAATAGTGTGAAGTTATTTATGGATGGCTCTGTATGAGTGATTTTTTTCTAAAATTAAAATACATTTGTAATAATATTTCTTAGAGTCTTCTGCCAATAATTAAACCAGTATTTCAGCAGTAAGAGGAACCAGTTTTTCCACAATTGTTTTTAAAAGGTGTCTCCAATTTAAATTAGGGTTTAGTCATATTGAAATATTTTGTTCTTTTTCTTTTTTAAATTTATAAGAAATTCAATCTTTACAATGAAATTAATGATATCATCATATTTTTGCTGGGGTGTTAAATCATTAGACAGCACTAAAAATTTTTGCTGGGGTATAGCACCATTAGACAGAGCTATACATTTTTGCTGGAGTTTTACATCGTTAGTCAGAACTATAGATTTTTGCCGGGGGGGGGGAGAACAATATATTTTTATGGGTGTTACACCATTAGACAGATGGAACCAAAGATTTTCAGGCTTCTAAAGTTGACAATGTGACACCAAGTTTATGTGATAAGTTCTCAGATCATATTTCTAATAGGATCACAAAATACGGCAATGACATTGAAAAGTGGATGACCTACTTTTTAACAATCATAATGAAGACCACAATAAAACTGAATCCGACGGTGAGCAGGTATCCCAGTCCCATGTTGTACCTCATGTCGTTTGGTCTTTTCTCACCGGCAAGTGTGAACGTCAAGTTTGTATAATATCCATAAAATAGCATTGTGTTTTCCAGAAAGCCCTTGAAAAAATATTCCCAATTCATCAAACTGAATAAGTATAGTTGAACATTGTATTATTTTAAAAACTACAATATTACTATTGGCAAATAATTCTTTTAAAACCAAATGAATGAATATAAATATTAGGAACGGCAAAAACATTGGGCTGCAAATATCCTACAGAAAAATATTTAGTATATCCCAGAGTTATCAATTAAAATGGTAATTTAGACATCATTAGAACAGTGGTTCTCAACTTTCTTAATGCAGGGACCCTTTAATAGAGTTCCTCAAGTCTTGGTGACCCCCCCTCGTTGCTACTTCATAACTGTAGAGTATATGTGTTTTCCAATGGTCTTAGGCAAACCCTGTGAAAGGGTCGCTCGACCCACAGGTTGAGACCCGCTGCATTAGAATCAATATTTTTTCTATCCATATACTCACAGTCCCCTGAGCAATATTTAGAAATGTCAGCCAGTTTCGATTTGCCGACTTATTGTGGGCCTTCTCTGTGTACGTTTTGCTGCAGCGCACCATGATGTCATAAAAATCCCCAGTGCTGGTGATGTTGCTGGGTGACAAAAACTCGTACAAGCTGTTGTAGCTGAGTTGGGGAATGTAGATGAAGCACAGATACAGAAAAAATACCACAAAGTTCAGGTTGACAAGCCATCGGGTAAACCTGAAATAGGTTGAGGTAGCTATTCCAAAATGTCCTGAAAGAGAAAGGAATTAAAATACAAATTCAACATGCATGGTCATTATATTTCAATAAAAGCTTAAGTAGTTCATAATATAAAGCCTAATGAGAATCAAAAGGAGCTTTACACATTACATGGAAGAGGTAAACTGAATGGCAAAAGATCACCTCCGAAAAATACGTTAAGTAAATACTTTCTGTTGAAAATAACATAGCTATATCATTTACCCAAAGATGTAAAATGTATGATTTAAATTTCTTCGGGGACAAGTAGTGTTTTGAATTTTAAAAAACTTAAAGATTTAAATTGGATGATCATAATTCGATTACTGCTGGGATTTTTTACCAAGAGTCCACTGGGGGTAGGGGGCAGGGATGTCATTTGAGCAGGGCCCGGCCCCCGAATTTGCAGGTTTTATTTAAATTGCTATGCACGATGGCGCCTCCAGTAACAAACAACTTAACAAGCTGACCAAGTTTTGGTCCCCCCCTCCTGAAAAAAACTGAAATTTTCAACAGTGTAGAAGGAATATTCTGATCAGAAATACCTTCAATCTCTCTGAACTGCTGACTCCAGAAGTTAAGTCGGTACCATACATCAGTCACCCCTTCAAATACACTCCTGCAACCCTAACACAACAATAATAAAATAAAATGACTTACTTAATCAATACACCTTATTATTTTTTTTAATGAATTTTTGAATTTTATCAAATGTTCACAAATTCATACTGGTATTTTAAGAAATAAATTATTAAAATTATTATTTTATGTATTTTGTGTGCATGTATTTTTTAAATACAACAATAACTTATAAGTTTGAAAGAAAAAGAAATTAATATTAATGGGCCCAATTTAAATGCAACATTTGAAAGAATGGCAAACAGTGACACATCTTTGAAAACCAATAAGTATTACTGGCCAAACATTGAAGTTGAAGCTAAACAGTATAAAACAGTCAAAAGATACTGGCATTGTGACATTTGATTGAATTGTGTGGTAAGTCAATGAGTCTACATTGATAAGTATTCAAAAGAAAATGTAATAAAGTTATACAAGATGAAACTGATAAGATAACTAATAAGATAATCAAAATAACTTATATGATAACTAATAAGATAACAAAAGGGAAAAAATGAAAGTATTTATTACCCTAACAAATTGCTTTAGATAATAAATCACCCCATGTGCTTCACTAGCCTCCAATGCTGCTCTGTAAAAGAGACAAAGAAGATGGTATCATACAAACTCAAAACCAGGACATTTTAAATTTTCAAATTTAAATCCGAGACATTTCAAAAATGTTTTGCGACATGGTTGTCCAAAAATAAACAGGATGAAAACAATTACTTCTGTCAGTGAGGAGAAAGTACTTGTGTCAGTGAGCGAAAGCACTTGTGCCTTGACATCCGATTATGTATGTCTGGACACCAGGTTATATATGCCTGGATGTCAGATTATGTATGTCTGGACATCAGATTATGTATGCCTGTACATCAGGTTATGAATGCCCGGACGTCAGATTATGTATGTCTGGACATCAGGTTATATATGTCTGGATATCAGATTAATTATGTCTGATATATGTACAGATTATGTATGCCTGTACATCATAATATGTATGACTGGACATCAGATTAGGTACTCAAACTTTTAATAAATTTCTTTTTAAGCCATATGTAAACCAAAAATATTGTGATCTTAAACTACTGGTTTCAGCTCCCGACAAACAACTTTAGAACAAAGGTCCAAAAACTACTGTCCTGGTAAAATCGTATGAATGGTCACCTTATCTTAAACCTCAGACTATGTTATGGAGGAGTCAAACAACAGTTAACAACAGCAACAATAGTTAACTAAGTACAAATGACCATTTGGATTTCAACACATAGTTGCATTGTTAAATTATTGCCATTTTGTTCAAAAAACACTGGAAGAACGCATCTGGAGGAACACATTGGGAGGAACACACGTGAAGCATCATGTGTCAATATCAGGGATTCTTAAATTGGGGTGTGGGAAGCAGTGTCGGGGGGGGGGGAAAGATGTATTTTATTAGGATTTATTATCTAGAGTTGAGGGGGGGCGAAAATATTTAAATCGAGATTGGGGTGCAGGAAATGTTTATAAATATCAAGAGGCAGTTGGGGGGGGGGGTGCTATAAAATGATTAAGAAACCATGTTCTGTGGAATATGAAAGGGGATGTAGATCAGGTAACAATACATATTAAATTTGGATAGTCTCCCCTAAATTGAGTTGCGCAGTGGGTGATGCCTCTCAGGGGCGCCACGAAAATTCAACTATTTGTAAACAAATAAGACGAAATGAATGCATTGGTGTAGGACGGAAGTGGCTGAGTTGCAACGTTGGACGGCCTTAAAAACAAGAAATTAAAAGACGACTAGTTGTGACGGCCTTAAGATGACCAGTTGTAACGGCCTTAGAGAGGCTGGAAGTAGCAAGGCATACTATGCCTTAAGATGACCAGTTGTAACGGTCTTAGAGAGGCTGGAAGTAGCAAGGCATACTATGCCTTAAGATGACCAGTTGTAACGGTCTTAGAGAGGCTGGAAGTAGCAAGGCATACTATGCCTTAAGATGACCAGTTGTGACGGCCTTAGAGAGGCTGGAAGTAGCAAGGCATACTATGCCTTAAGACGACCAGTTGTAACGGTCTTAGAGAGGCTGGAAGTAGCAAGGCATACAATGCGGATAAACACGCTCCCCCAACGATTAGCTCACTTCCAAATGTTTTGTCTGTTTTTTGTTTTTAGTTTTTATTTGTTTTTAATCAGTGAACTAATTCAGCATATTTGCGCTAGAATAAACAAGTACTGGTTGATTTCAGCGGTCGGCAGCACTTTGTGTGTGGGAAGCAACTTGTGTGATTTGTTTGATCGCATAATATGGACTTTGATGTACCGTAAGGTTGTCTGTACAAGAAGTAGGCCTACACATTATAGAAGATATAACAAAAATGTAGGGATCAACTGGCGTATGCCAAGTAAGAAAGTGCCTTAGCTGCAGGGAAATTTCGATAGCAATGACGTTAGGGGGGGGGGGGGCATGGCTTTGTACTGAAATTACAATAAACCTTTTAAATTCTCTATTTTTCATTTGTTTCGTGTTTGTACATGACATATTCTGACATTGTGTAAAGATATAACAAAAATGTAGGGATCAACTGGCGTATGCCAAGTAAGAAAGTGCCTTAGCTGCAGGGAAATTTCGATAGCAATGACGTTAGGGGGGGGGGGGGCATTGCTTTGTACTGAAATTACAATAAACCTTTTAAATTCTCTATTTTTCAATTGTATCGTGTTTGTACATGACATAATCTGACATAGTGTGCTGACATAGTGTGCTGACAAGTGTGGCGATATATGTCATCCCTTCCAGGGTGGAGATGAGATGACAATGACAGCAACCGTTGCTATTAGTTAGGAAAAGTGATTGGGCGAATGAATAATGTGTTTTGATCAACACTGAAAGCAGTCCCAAGACTCAAACCGTTTGTGAAACATGTTGATGTTAAAAAGTAGCAGCGATTTGCAATGCCTCTGTTTATCATAGCTATTTGAAGTTTTGATTACATTTATCTTAACTTTTCTGGCAAAAGATGTTTATACATTTTTATCTAAGTTTCCTGCGCCATGTCGCACCATAAGAGCTCAAATTGGGTGCGGGAATACTTGCGTATTGGTTCCATCATAATTAACTTTGTATTATTCTTGTTTTTAATTCGTTTTGCAATTGAGACTTCGATACCCTAAAGATTTACGATTCCGGTTTGATCAGCAAATGAAACAACCCCTAAAAAAAAAGTTTTTTCGTATAAATCCTTCAAAAATGTAATATCGAGCAATTGGAGTGGGGAGGGGGGGGGTTGCTGATAATTTAACAAAACACGCAATCAAGTAAATCACTTTATAAGAATCCCAATTAGTTCCCCCCCCCCCCCCCCCCCCCCCCCCCCCCCCCCCAGGCTAGCAACCGTTCAATTGTTCACGCCCTGGAGTATATTAATACTCTAATGACATGACCCACCCATTTAACGCCGCTCATTTATTTCACCCACTATTTCAGAAAAAAACAAAAGAAGTTATTACGCACACACACGCACTTGCGATATTTTCTTTTAAGAATCACATTTAGCGCAGTTATCGGAATTTTATTTTGTGAAATCAGTGTCATCTTATTTCATCTGTCCTCCACTTGAAAAATAGGGGCAACAGATCTTTTTTTCTTTTTTTTTTTTTTGGGGGGGGGGGGGGGGGGGGGGGTAAATTTTGGGCTTAAAATTTGATTGAATGTGTTGTCGTTGGCAACGGGAGCTGAAAATTTGAAAGAATGAGTTGTCATCGGCAATGAGTCTATATGCCAATTTTCAGCTCAATAGGTTGACGGGAAGTGGGTCAATTAGCCGTCCCAAGATTTCGCCACCCAGCCAGAAAGAAACACACGAACAAAAGCGAAGTTAATATAAAGGATTTAAAAATGTGTAAAAAATATCAAACTGAATGAACAGACAGGAGCATTTGAAATGTTTGTAAAGATTGCTTTACAGCACACTTAAAAATGGTGATGTCTTGGGTTATAGTTGATATCGATACTTAGGTTTAAAAAGAGACGAAACATAAAGTTGGCCATTCCTTGTTTTATATTGAACTCTGCTGACTTTTAAATCCCCAATCACGTTCAAAAACTTTTCTGACCTATTAGGAAGTAGTGTCTGTGCCATAGAGTCTATTGGCTACGGGCAAATAGCCCATGAAATGGACATTTCAGTCCAGCCATGCAGCTACGTCAGGGGAGACACAAAATATGGTCAAAAATAACTTAGCGTGATAATGAAAGTTCTAATAGCGACCCCCCCCCCCAACCAAAAACAACAAACCAACAACCCACCACTCACACACCCACACAAATGGAAACAAACAACAAAGAAACTATAAGTTCTGCTTCATTACTATACTAAAAAAATTGCCGCGTGCGTACTCAAGAGTGGGTGATAGATTATTTAAGAGTCCACCAACGCATTTTAATTTAATGTTCAACAGTTCGAACTAATCAGTATCGTTTATTTATAAACAAACTCGAGCTCAATAGATAAATATTATAAATATAACCATGGAATGCCGTAAATACATCGGCGTCCGTCATCAGCATCGATCGGAGATCGTGTCAGTGAGGGAATCGTGACTTGGAAATGTGGCAGTCCACATGGCAGTCGTTTAAACACACGGGCAGTGGCCATTCCAAGTTATCTTTTCAAACTATTGACATAAGAGACACTGACGATGTACAGAAAAGACATGATATGTTGAGGTTCATCCGACTAGCTTTTGGATCCCGGAATAGCGACATTTTGTGTATATATGCCGGGCCAGATTATCTGTATGGTCAAGTGTACAAAGTGGCAACAACTGACACTGTCCAGCATATATATATATATATATATATATATATATATATGGCATCCCTCCGTCTTCGTGAGACTATGGAGTAGCTATATAGTTCTACACTTTAACGAGTGGCTCACTAGGTCCATCCTAGAATGGCAATCACGGCCGCATCTCTCGCAGGAGAATATTGAGTTCCGGTAAATTCTTGATTTCCGAA